TGATTTCATTTCCCAAGCAACTAGTTTATTTTTAGATGGGAAATTTGAACTTAGAGGGTGGGAGTTTACTGACAAAACTCTCTCACCTACTACTCAACCTGTTGGTGTATTAGGTATGCTGTGGGACAAGAGAACTGACGTGCTTAAACTTAATGTTGATTTTCTCAAATCAGTTGACTTGCAAGTAGTTACAAAGCGTAAAATGCTTTCTATTACTCACAAAGTTTATGATGTTGTTGGGATTTCTTCCCCAGTAACACTGCTCCCTAAGATTCTATTGCAAAGGACTTGGTCCATGAAATTCAAATGGGATCAAGAGGTTTCAGATGACATAAGATGTGACTTTCTGAAATGGTACAAAGATCTGGGATATTTAAATGAGATTAACATACCTCGTTTTTTCGCTGGGGAGGATGGTACTTTTAGTTTGCATATATTTTGTGACGCTAGTAAATTCGCATATGCTACTGTCGCATTTCTAAGGACTGAGGTCAATGGATCAGTCAATCTTCATTTCGTAGCAGCAAAGTCACGAGTAGCACCAGTGAAAGACCTATCAATCCCTCGACTGGAACTATTAGCAGCCACAATTGGAGCCAGAATTGGAAGGTCAATCTTCGATAGCCTTAATATCTCTGATTTAGAAACACATTTTTGGAGCGATTCAACCACAGTCATATCTTGGATTCAACGAGAAGACAATTGGGCTACTTTTGTTTGGAATAGATGTCAAGAAATAAGGTCATTATCTTGTAAAGACTCTTGGAGGTATGTACCTGGAAACCTAAACCCCGCTGATGTAGCTAGTAGAGGATGCTCGGCTAAGGGTCTAGTTGATTGTAAATGGTGGGAGGGCCCTCAGTGGCTAAGACAGCCTCCAGAAGAATGGCCAAAAGTTAAAATGATTTACAACGACGAAGAAATCCACAGTGAAAAGAAGAAAGGAATCGTATCAGTTTGTACGAATGCTGAAGAAACTAAGTCAGGCTGGTATTATAAATACTTCAGCAATTTTGAAAAGATCGTGCGTATGGTAGCATGGATAAATAGATTTTATAATAATTGCCGTAGAAGTGAAAAAGTAAATGGTTCCTTAACCCTGGAAGAAATAGAAAAAGCTGAAGCCAATGTTTGGAAACTAGTCCAGAAAGAGAGTTTTTGTGGGCTGAAAGATGCTAAACTTGCAACTTTATGTCCTTTTGAAGATAAAAATGGTTTGATTCGTGTAAAGTCGAAGCTTACTGACAGAAAAGACCACGAAAACTTCAGGACACCAATAGTACTACCATCGAAACATCCTGTTGTGCAAATTTTAATACGCTCTAAGCATATCAAGGCTTGTCACGCAGGAGTTCAGTATTTATTAAGCATTTTGCGTGAAGACTATTGGATATTAAGTGGGCGGAAAACAGTAAAATCTGTAGTATCGTCTTGTGTGAAGTGTCTAAGATACAAAGGGAAAAGTCTACAAACTGGGCCCATTGGTCTTCCAGAAGACAGAGTAAAAGATGCTGCAGTATTTCAAATTAGTGGTGTCGATTTTGCAGGACCAATATATTTGCGAGATGGTCAGAAGGCTTGGATATGTCTTTTTACCTGTGCTGTTTATCGCGCAGTTCATTTAGAACTAGTTTCAAGTTTGTCAACTAAAGCATTTCTACAGGCTTTGAGAAGATTCATAGCTAGAAGAGGCAGACCCTCAATTGTATACAGCGACAACGCGACCAACTTTGTTGGCGCAAACAATGCCTTTACACAAGTTGACTGGGATAAAATCCAGGAGTACAGTTCGGTCCAGCGAATTAAATGGAAATTCAATCCCCCTTCATCACCTTGGTGGGGTGGCTGGTGGGAGAGATTGATAGGGATGATGAAGCAACTTCTTCGAAAATGTTTGGGCAACTCAAGTTTGACTTATGAAGAATTCCAGACTATCCTTTGTGACTGTGAATCAGTTTTAAATGCACGTCCCCTCACATACATCTCTAACGAAGTAAATGACTTAATACCTTTGACTCCAGCAATGTTCTTGACTGACATTAAAGAAACTGGAACACCTGATGTGGACAAAATTAATCACGGAGAGTTGAACCGCAGGGTCCGGTACTGCCAAAAGTTAAAAGAAGATCTGAGAAAGAGATTTCGGAGTGAGTATTTGGGAGCACTAATGATGAAGTCGAAAAGGTCAACAAGGGACATACAAGCTGGAGAAGTTGTCATTGTGGAGACGGACGACAAAAGACGTCTAAATTGGCCTTTGGCAGTCGTAAAAGAACTCATACCGGGTAGAGATGGTAAAATTCGCCTAGCAAAACTCAAGACGAATTCAGGAATAATTTTGCGGACTATCCAAAAAATTTACCCTCTTGAAATACAAAATTGTGAGAAAGAAGAGTTCCTGAAAAATGAAAAAAATAGGAACAAAACGAAGCAGGATAATAAAGTGATAGATAAGAAAACTGTGACTAGAAGTGGACGGATGGTTAAACAACCAAAACGGTTTCTCCAATAAAAACCTTGTGTTGAGGAACAAGTTACCTTACATTCCTCAAGGTGGGAGGATGTGAAAATGACTGATGAAGTTATGATCAACGCTTATATTTGACTGGACTTATGCTTAATATTTTATAAATCTGAAAATCAGCTGTATTTTAATTGTATAATTTTGATAGTTGATTTATGTTTACTTTTTGTAAGTTTTCTAGAATAAAAACAATGATGAAAATGCTACATTTAAAAAAGAATTGATTTTTTCTGTGATTTAGTTCGAACGGTCTAATTTCCACAAAAGTTGAACCGTACAATGTTTAATTGTTTCTAAGTTTGATTTGTTTTCAGTAATTAATCCTTTTACAGGAATTGAGAACAATTCTAATTTTATTACAACCAGAAGAATTGTAAAATTGTCATTGTCGATGTTGCAACGTCGAAATAGCCTTGTCTTGTGATTGGCGGCCACTAACTGCAAACTTATGTGGTCCCGACTGTAGTTACAATTGAAACGTTATTGCCAGTCAGGTGTTAAGAAGTGTTATAGTTCAGAAACAATAATTAAAACAAATTGTCCAATCAGAGTATTTTTGGAATTTTGCAATTGAAAATGAAAAATAGAAACTAGCTCATGATGAAGTAATTAATTCCCAAGTGCTATGTCATAGCCTTTTATGGCTACGTACATATTTCCGAGTAGCATAAAAACCTTGGGAATTCCTTACTACAGCGTTTTTAAAATTCATAATGACGTTGGTTTTTAATACCTTATGTTATATTATTTAATTAGACTTTTCAGATTGTTATTTATTGTTGTATATATGTTGTAAATAGTTGTTTTTCAGCATGAAGTTTTTGTGACTGGCCACCTTTTGAGGGCCAATTTAGATTAATTAGTAGGCTATATATTCACTTGATACCGGAAGGAGTTTATCCACCTCAATAAACGTTGTGTAGTTTAAAACAAAAGACAAGTTGGAAAAGTTCAATAAAATAATATAACAAAATCCTGACTGCCCTTGAGTAAAATGTTACCTTCTCGTCAAATGTGTGCCACCCCAAACTGTACTTTATGAATTTTGAGGACTTTAAACTTAGCCATGAACTCTGAGCGCTTCAGCGCTTCAAATTCAAATTGTGGTATTTGTTAGTGTTTCATTAGATTGGAATTATCAGCGCTAAATTATAAATGTACCGTGGTACTCGTACTTTGAAAATCGGGAATCGAATAACTTTATTTTGTTTTAATTAAAAGTGCTGTATCTGCCCATTACCTATATAAAAGATTATACGATCCCATTATATCAGTTAATCTCTACATTTACAGGGTGGATCCCCCGTTGTGGGCCTTGCAACCAAGAAATTATAACTAAAGTATTTCTAAAATTCATTTGGACACAAAAAATACATGAACAACTCTATTCGGTGCTATTAGTATTTATTAAATGATTTAATAATCTACTCCATGACAAATACTTGAAATACTAATAGGCATAAGGGAGTATGTTTTATCTATGCTAATAGTTACATGTATAGACAGTGTATACAAGTTACATGTATAGTTACTGTGTATATACAGTACTTGTCTGCATGGTAAAGAAGTGTGCGCCTCTCACCCTGGCGCCAATGGCGTGTTGTTTTCTAGCCACCAGCTGATTTGTAATGGCCTAAAGATTTGGTCAGTGTTGCCACTTTTAGGGTAATTACCCTTTTTTAGGGTAATTTACCAGTCTTAGGGTAAAGTTTAGGGTAATGGTAGATTTAGGGTAATTTTAGGGTAAAACAAAAATTTAGCATAACAATGGAAAATTTATCTAAAATCATGAAAAAACTTCAAAATGTTGCAAAAAACATACATATAATGGAAAACCCGTCATATGTGACTCAATCGGTTTAAATCAATTGCTGATTGCTAAAATTGCTACGATAAATTTTCCATAATCGATTTAATCAATACCGGTAATTGTGAATTATCTGTTTTAGATTGTATTTGATTTCACAACACTTTATAATAAAATAATGAAATATTTTTAATTTATTACTTCTTGCTATGAGTTGAATAGGATTATTTTACCAATTGTGTCAAAAAATTACTGTATTTATAGATTGAAGCTTTGATGGTACCGTACTGTTAAAGTGATGATTGTAAAAAAAAAGTAGTAATACAATTAAAAAATACAATAACTCTTGGTTCGACATTTTTCTACAGTACGATAGAGCTGATCAACATGTTTGTACTTTCTCGGGTTGTTTTCGAGAATCGATTATAATTTCATGTATATTGATTGATATTGAAACCTTATTGAGTATAATTAACCATCTTATGTAAGATTTGCATCGTTTTAACATTGTTTTATAGTATTTAACACAAATATTAACATTTAGGGTAATTTTTAGGGTAGCTCAAAGTAGATTTAGGGTAATTTAGGGTAATTTTAGCCCGCCTTTAGGGTAAAATCGCAACAACGAGGTGGCAACACTGGATTTGGTATTTGTTTGACAGGTGATGATTGAGTTATTGTCAGATTGCGTCTTCTGTTGTGGTCACAAAAATTATCGACTAGAAGAAGTTTAATGTGAAACACTCGTTAAAATATTAAATGTTTATTTATTTTAAGCTTGAGATGGTATTGGAGGTTGGCTAAGGTATGTTGATGAACAATGTATAGTAAAAGTAAATAGAAGTAAGTACTTATGATAATAACATAAACACAGTAGTCTGGATGAAAATTCTTTTTTCTCAAGCAAATTGCTGTCTTTCGGTTTCTTGTTGTTCGTTTACCGTTAAGATTCTTGATGATTGTGTTACATTTACTATTCTTGAATTGTTCTATATAGGCCTACAATGATTTCAACAACGTTCCAATTTGTTAAAACTTAAAACCCACATTAGGCCTACTGTATCATAAAATGCACTCATTCAGCTTGAGTGATTGCTTTAAGGAATGTTGATACTGCATTTCTTTCTAAAATGCCAACACAACATGTATCACAGTAATTTCCTAGTTTACATGCCACCTATCTCTAGACTTCTAATTAATTTTGATGGTTGTGAACCTGTGTGTATGCAAGCATCTTGAGAAAGCTTCCTGGTTTAAAAGAAATTGTGAAATTTTGTGTTTTTAGGGTCAAAAATGGGAAAAACCTATTTTTACCCCATAAAACCCCCCATAAACCCCTGTTCCCATAGTCCGATCATGCTGGTTCGCGAACTCATTCAAGTTTATCCCACTTAATTCTTCGGCCCCAAAACTGAACATTTTGAAATTTCTGCAGAGAATCTACGATCTTAGCCGATGAAATATTATTCTTATCTAAGGAGGGTGTCGGTCATAGTCCCAAACATGACTACAAGATCATGCAACTCATCTCAATTCATACTTGGCAATACCTACATAGCCATTTCATATTAAAGTACGGTACTAACTTAAAGTATTTTGATGTCTATTGTATCGGGTGTTGTTTTCACGCTAACTTAAATTATATCGATTGTACCGGTATGTATTGAATATGAACATTTAAAATCATAGGATATTTTAAAGAAGAATATTTTACACTAATCTGCAGCGGTTAGGTTAAGTTAAAGTTTATTCTTTCTTTTATTTGGAAGAAAGAAGATCATTTTGATAATAAACTGTTTTGTGAGTTTATAAAAGTGTCATAACTGAAGTAAAAGAGTGGCAGATAGTCCTCTTCTTTCTTCTTGAACCCCAGACCCATAAAAATACTTAACTTACTTACTTGAATACTTGTACTTGACCAACAAAGTCGGAAAAGATTGTGTCAAACTTAAAACCACCTAAATAAAAAATATTTATGATTGCGGTGGGTTGCCAAAAAACGGAGTGTCCTCTAGCTCTTTTAACAAATAACAGAAAACCAGTAGCCTACCGGTACTGTATTTGCATAAAAAAGTATTTATAGTCCTCGCCACCCTAACTTGAGGCAGCCCGAGGCCGCACTAGATATACGGCGTGCGGTTATGGGCTGCCTCAAGTTAGGGTGGCTAGGACTATAAATCTAAATTTATATTGAATAAACATTTCAGATGGATGGATAGATAGATAGATAGATAGATATAGATAGATAGATAGATAGATAGATAGATAGATCTTCGTTGTGTTAGAGTGGGTAGTCCCACAACATCCCACAACAATAAGCTCATTAGATGCTGAGTCAGTAGGCCTACTTTACCTGATTGCTGTAGGCCTGGAAATCTTAATTAGCAAAATGTAAACACACTGAAATTGTTTGAATAAGTGACAGTCTTTAACACGTTGACTGCTAACGAAAATCGGCGTCGCTAGCACTTCAATGTGGCGCGCGCCGACAAAAGTCGGCACCAGACCAACAGAAATATATTGAGTCAGTGTGAGCTTAGCCTCAGACGGAGACGTTATAATCGTTGCCAGACTGCCAGCTTAGAATGCGAGCTTTACTTTGGTGTAGGTTGGTACTAAAATTTTCCGTAAAATCCTGTCTGGCAATGCTTTTGTCCCGGTTTCGGGAATTTTTTCTCTTCAACCCACATTACAAAGACACTGGATACGGATCCGTGCAGTGCTGCTACCTTTGGATGTTTCAGTGAACTACATCCACTCTCGGGGTAACGCAGCACAGTCACCACTGCTCTTTTTTGATTCGTCAGACTGAAATATTTGAATGCCAATTGCGTTCGCTGATTCGGTTGCGTGGCGGGGCTTCGCCTGCCACTGGGGAGCGCCTGTACGTTGTTTTCAGCAGTCAACGTGTTAACTTACAAGGAATTTAACTTAAACCTAATGAATTAACTACAGTTTTAAGATCAGTTTGGTTTTAAGCAATCGTGCATTAACTTATTAATTTTGATTTGAAATTTATTTATTAAATACATAAAAGGTTACATACCACTGTCCGTCTTCAGTCTTAAAAAATAGTCCGGGGATGACTAGTTTTGGGTCAAAGACCCATTATCAAATCCACATCAAATTGAAAGTCTGTAATCCGACGGAAGTCTTCATCGGATTATAGACTTTCAATTTGATGTGGATTTGATAATGGGTCTTTGACCCAAAACTAGTCATCCCCAGACTATTTTTTAAGAATGAACTTGGACAGTGGTATGTAACCTTTTATATATTTCGTACAATCAGTCCTGGTCGCAAGAATGTTTCAATGAATTTATTATCAATGATTCATTGTTAGCCTATAGGTCTATTATTTTTACTACATTTTTGCACTGTTAACTCAGTTCCTTTTTGCCTTAAAGTAGGTAGTTGGATATTTTTTGTATTTTATATTTCTGTTGTTCAAAATTACTATGATTTTGCAATTTTCTTTCTCTTCACAAAAATATTTGCTAAATATTCTTATGCACGTTTGCTGATGATGAAAGTCTATGACTACTAAGGTAAAAGAGAACAAACATAGCTGTCAATTGTGGTGGTTTTAATGCGTCAAACGTAGCTCTGTCAAAGATGGTTGGATCAATTCACAAAAGATATCGTATTTGACCAGGTGTTGTAAATAAAATATCAACATTGCCAACTTACTTGCTCGAAACTTTTGTTTGTGCGAATAGGATAGCCTACAATACAGTTGGAGTTTTAACTTCATACCATGTAGGCCTATACTAATAAGCCACTAACTAATTTTCGTCAAGAAAATTCTATAACAAATTTCAGTAAGGATTAGTCTCATGTAGTACAGTAGAACCCCGTTTAACCAAATTTGGGTTAGGCCCTAACCAAAACGGTTGCCATAAAATAATACAGGGATAAAATATCCTTTAGTTACTTCAGTGGCTTAGTTTTTCAGAGTTTAGAGCTCATGTAATATATTTATATTTTATCATATATATTTATGTAATATATTTATATTATATTATATATATTTATGTAATATATTTTTTTTATTATATTTTTACCTCCAACTGAATTCCAACTTACTTAGTCTACTTGACGCCAGTGATTCAAGTATTCCTAGAAAGATAGTAAATTATTGTTTTGTCTGGAGCTGATAAGTGTGCAAGTTAAGTGTCCCAAATAGCACTCCTCATGTAGGTTACTTGTCAATGAAAATAAAATCATATGACGGATAAGATCTAAAAGCTTACAATGGGTTTCTCTTGCACTGAATCACTGAATATTAATTCATATTTTTTCTTTATTATACTGTACTTATCTAGGGCCTACTTACTCACTTCATACTGTGCTTACTTATTCACATTCTTATACTACCACTATATGAGGGGGTTTCCCCTGTTTTAAAAATCCCGTAGCTTGAGATAATTTGTCCCTTTATTTTTTATCACGCCACTCATCCTACACTCATCTCCATTCATACTTGGCTTAAAATACCTACTTTGTATGGTCGCCATTTTATTTAAAAGTAAAGTAAAGGAAAGAAGGCTAGCTGTTCCTTTAAGAGAAGCGTCATATTTTTAAGAGCTGTATGAGGGAAAAATTGTTTCACATAAAAGTTCTCTTTTAATCTAACCCATGTCTAGGGCAGTATATTGTCAAATTTAATCACAATTAATCTGCTACTGATCACATATATTTGTAAATCCATATAATTACGAGACTAAGTGATAAGGGAAGAACATTTTATGTGTCTCCTTAATAGTAGGTCTACTTCTATAATGGGATCCCATAGTGGTACAGACAGTTTGTGTGTTGATGTTAATTCAATACCAAGTTAGAAGGTTGCAAGTTTATATTATTTTTGCCTTGTAGAGCATTTACAGTTATCATTAGTCATAGCCAAGTTAGAGAATTGATTAGTAATATTAGTCATGTAACAAATAGAGTACTTTCCTGAATCGATTCGACTGAATTGATTGCAAGTTTGTGTTAGTCTAGCATTGAACCTGTCGGAACCTGTCTTGTTCACAGGCTGATGGAGGACAGTGAGAGTGTAAAATCAAATGATTCCACTGCCATAAGTGAAGAGTATGAGTTTGTAGTTAGCTCTGGCACGGTGAGTCTAACCCCTGCATTTCCTTGTGTCGACTAACAATCAGGACTTGTTAGTCTCGCTTTCAGTTTTTTTCCATTTGTAGTGCTTTTGGAGTAGCAACAATCCTTTTGTTGCAGATTTTCCTACAAAAATGGCTATCCCTGCATACTTGCTTTTCTAATTTAAAGAGAGTGAACTCAAACGTTTTATAAATAGTTAAGTTATCAATATAATAGTGTATTTCACTAGGGCGTAAAGTAAGTATTTTCGACACAAAATGAGAATTAGTGAGAGTACTGTGTGGGTAATACAAAGTAATACAAAGTACATAATACAAAGTATAAAGCAATTAAACTAAATCATGAACCGTCTATTGCCTTTGACTATTGATAGAGCTAAACATTTCTTCCCCATGTTAAATTAGTCACCAGTTTTCAAATAAAAATTGGACAGGGTTAAGCCAAGGAACTGACAGATAAATTACATCTATAAACAGCCACTGATATTTAAATTATTACTGAATAATGTTTAATTGACAAAGTAAAACTAATGGGACGACTGATTGTAAACTATAGCAACTTTTATGCCACATAAATAATCTTAGTAATAAAACTAAAGAATAAAAGTACAGCTTGTCCATCTATATGGGAGGTTGACTTCAGTATCCAAAAGTTAATACTACTACCATACAATTCTCACCCTATAATTATTCCACAAAACAATATATGATAATTTGTTCAAAATGTTTTTCCATGGGCAGTCGTTGCCTTTGTTGAATATCTCGGACGACAGCAAGACAGAGGGAGATCTGGAGGCGATGATGGGAGAAGTCCTGGGGGAAATGGAGCCGGACAACAAGCGGACGGAACAACAACGGCAGGACCCTCCGGAGACAGCTAATCACAGGCGGAGCTACATAACAGAGGCAAAGCGATTTGAGACTGACGAACACCCGTTGAGCGAGGAAGAGGTGGACATGGGTAAGTCGTGAGTTAATACATCCATACTATTCACTGTACACTTGCTAGTCAAAAAGTTTACATATTACTAAATCAGTCTGATTATTTGAGAATCCAAGGTGCATACTTTAAGCATATACACTCAATTATCAATTCTTTGAGATGTGGTCACCTAGGTGCGTATTTTAACCCTAATATGAGTGAAGGATGAATGTAGAATGGTGTGAAATGATCTGTGTAGCTTTGTTACTTACTAAGATCAGTTGGTTCATCGGTCAGGATCTGTTAACATATGTTTTATTTACATTTTATTTATAACATGTGTTCAAATTATTCTTTTGTTTACTTGTTGAATTGTTTATGTTTACTTACAGATTGTGATTTAATAAAAACTTACTTTCTATTTTCTTATACAAAATGTGAACTTTTATTAGTAAAATTAGTGGAATCAACAATGGCGACGAGTAAAATGGTAAGTAGAAAAGAATTGGATTTGTATCTCAAGAAAAGGAAATTGCTAGAACTACGCTTGAACAAACTCAAGGATGATTTACATACATGTGAACATTCTCAAGATACATGCACTTACTATACCGATAAACTTTCAGCAATATGGACTGAACTCGAAGCTACACAGTCCCATATTGAACTTCACACTAATTCAGTAGAAAGTGAATTAGAAATTCGATGGCAGTTAGAAGAAATACATAGAGAGATACGAACATTCCTTGAAGCAGAAAAGAAAAAGTACAATACACAAACTGCAATGTCTGCCTCTACAATATCTCAACATGTATCTAATATTCCTTTCCAGCCATATACACAAGAGGAAAGTTTTCAAAACTTCACTCGGCGCTTTGAAAACTACACAAAATTACGGGGAAACTTAAGTCCAAAGGTCAAAGTGGATTTATTTTTACAATCAATCACCCCACAAATACACGAACAGCTCTACGATCTTTGCATACCAGATGATCCACATAACAAGCCATATGAGGAATTGATTCATCTGTTGATGGCACAACTAGAACCAAAACCCAGTATTTGGGCTCGTCAGCACAAATTCACAACACGTACTCAACTATGTAATGAATCTGTACAAGCTTACGCAAATGCTCTTCGAAAGCTCAGTGTTGAATGCCAGTTTACTTGTACACATTGTAATGAATCCGTATCTGAAATTCTACTTCGAATGCAGTTTGTCAGGGGACTAAGAGACTCTGATATACGTCTTCATCTTATTCAAGATAAACTATTGCAACCGTTTAAAGAAGTAGTCGAGAAGGCAGCTACATTGGAACTAGCGACAAGTGAGAGCAGAATAGTTAAGACAAATGAATATCGAGAGGAAGTACACCAAGTATCGAGCAAGAACAAACACCTGGATAGTAAGTCAAGTAAATCTAATCGTATACAACTCTCTGATTATCAATCTCGTTTTGAGAAACTGAGGAACAAATGCTATAGATGTGGTGATGATTCACATAGAGCCCATCAATGTAAGTTCAAAAATGCAGAATGCAACTCGTGTAAACGTTTTGGTCACTTAGCAAGAGTGTGCTTAAGGAAACCAAACAAAGAAGTAAAACAATCAGATGAAACCGTAGAAAATACAAGTGATGACACTCATGAAATTTACCAACTTCATTCAAAATCAAATGACAAGTTTATGCTCGAGGTAAAAGTGGAAGGACGACTCATGACAATGGAATTAGATACAGGAGCGGCTCTCAGCATTGTATCATATGATACATTTAAACTTTTAAATTCTCCAAAAAGGATTTTCAAAACAAATGTTCAACTCAGGACATACACTGGAGAAATAATCAATCCAAGAGGAGTTGTTTTTGTAGATGTTCAGTACAAAGATCAAAGTTTTGTTGGAAAACTGTACATTGTAAACAAGTGTGTAGACTCTATATTCGGAAGAGAATGGATAAGAGAGATTCAGCTTGATGCAGCTGACATACATTCATTAGATTCAAGTGAAACAAATGAAAACATTCAAGAACTAGATAAACTGATGATTCAATACGAAGACATTTTCAAAGAAGGCATTGGGAAAATACCAAACGAAAAGGGCCATTTTAATGTAAAAGACGAAACCCAGCCAATTTACATCAAACCAAGACACATGCCATATGCACTACAAGAAAAGGTAGAGAAAGAACTTGAACGACTGGAAACTTTGGGTATAATCACACAAGTCGAATCATCTGATTGGGGCACACCAATTGTTCCGGTCGTCAAACCAAATGGTTCAGTCAGAATATGTGCCGATTACAAGGTGACATTGAACAAAGTCATCAAAGACGAACACTACCCTATACCTCGGATCGACGATATCATGTCAAAAATGCATTGTGGAAAGATTTTTTATACTCTTGATATCAGTAATGCATACTTGCACCTGGAGATGGACGAAAACAGTGCCATAATGCAAACAATCAGTACTCATAAAGGGCTGTTTAAGGTGAACCGATTAATGTTTGGAGTAAAAGTGGCACCCTTGTTATGGCAGAGATTCATGGACAAAACATTACATGGCTTAGAAGGTGTACAATGTTTCTTCGATGATGTCATTATCCAAGGATCTAACCGGGAACAGCTTCTTCGCCGACTGAAACAGGTGTTCGAACGACTGAAGACAAACGATTTGAGGCTAAATAGGGACAAATGCAAGTTTTTCCAGACGAAAATTGAGTATTTAGGTCATGTGATCGATAGCAAAGGGCTACATAAGTCAGATACCAAGATACAGAGCATTCTGAAATGTAAAAGGCCAGAAAACGTTTCTGAACTCCGAACATTCCTGGGCCTAGCAAATTATTACAACAAATTCATAAAGAATTTGGCAACACTACTACATCCGTTGAACCTACTGCTACGAAAAGGAAACCATTTCAATTGGAATTCATCTTGTGAAAAGAGTTTTCAGAAGATTAAGGACATTATCACAAGTGACGACGTTTTGGTTCACTTTGATCCTAGCTTACCTCTGGTCTTAGCTACTGATGCTTCACCGGTAGGTGTGGGAGCCGTTCTGTCTCACCGCTATAGCAATGGATCGGACAGACCAATTGCCTTCGCCTCTCGATCTTTAACCAAATCAGAACAAAAATACTCTCAAATCGACAAGGAAGCGTTGGGAATATATTGGGGCCTGAAAAAGTTTTTCCCATTTTGTTATGGCCGCAAGTTTACTTTGATTACAGACCACAAACCGCTAGTCTCAATTTTTAATCCAGCAAAGACCTTACCAACAATCTCGGCAACACGGATATTCAACTATGCTCACTTTCTCTCCGGGTTCAACTATGACATAGAGTACAGGCAAACTGTTCATCATAGCAATGCAGATTATCTCTCACGTTTCCCTACCGAAGTTGTACAAGAAAACGCTATAGATGACCTCTCCAAGTACCACATAAACCAACTAGAAACACTCAATGTCAACAGTACCGTGGTGGCTAAGGAAACTATCAACGATTCTGTGTTGGGTCCAGTCCTACAGGCCTTAAAATCAAGACAATCTGTCGAACAATATGGATTTCACGATAACGAACTGTCCATTCAAGATGATTGTGTACTGAAGGGCTGGAGAGTCATGATACCTCAATCCCTCAAACCTCACGTGCTTCGAGAATTACACGTAGCTCATTTAGGAGAAATAAAAATGAAGGCTTTAGCTCGCAGTTTTTGCTGGTGGAAAAGTATAGACAAGGATATTGAAGATATGGTAACTGAATGTCGACAATGCATTGAACAATGCAACAACCCGAGAAAAACTATCCATCCCTGGGAACAACCTACTAATCCATGGGAGAGAGTGCACATTGATATCTTAGGACCAACAGATGGCCAACAGTACCTCATATTAGTGGATGCTTTTAGTAAGTGGGTGGAGGTGATACAGACAAGAACAACTACAAGTACATGGACAGTCCAAGAATTACGGAAAATCTTTTCAACTTTTGGGTTCCCTCAAATCTTAGTTTCAGATAATGAAAGACAGTTTGTTTCCCAAGAGTTCAAAAACTTCATGAATGAATGTGGGATTGTTCACAGAACAACGGCACCATATCACCCAAACTCAAACGGCCAGGCTGAAAGATACGTGCAGACTGTCAAGAAGGCGTTAAAATCCATGGAGGGAGAAAAGGGTACACTGCAAAACAAAATCCAAAGACTTGTAATGCAACTCAGGCAATCCTCGAATTCAACTGGTACATCAGCATACCACCTAATGTTTGGAAGGAGTGTACGAACAAACCTCGCAATAATTGTTCCAACCTTAGAACCGAATAAATATCAGAAAAAGGGACTCCAAGTCGGTATTAAAAGGAATTTCAAAGTTGGAGATAAGGTTCAAGCGCGGGAATATGTCAATGGATCATCCAAGTGGTACTCAGGCTATATAACTAAAAAGCAAGGACATGTAATGTACGTAGTTCAGCTGGAAGATGGACGAATAATAAGAAGACATGTTGATCAGCTGATTCTTCGTAGAGTGCCGCAGCACAGTAAATAGAGGAGGAGGTGTTAACATATGTTTTATTTACATTTTATTTATAACATGTGTTCAAATTATTCTTTTGTTTACTTGTTGAATTGTTTATGTTTACTTACAGATTGTGATTTAATAAAAACTTACTTTCTATTTTCTTATACAAAATGTGAACTTTTATTAGTAAAATTAGTGGAATCAACAGGATCATTTATTTAAAACCCAATGATCAGGAACAGCTGGGTCCGGTTTGGAATCATCAAAAAGCTATTGACATTTCTCAGTATCGAATCGGTTGTTAGGCAAACACTATAACCACTTAGCTACCCAGCCAGTCAGGGTGAGTGTATACTGGCGGATGTGTGTTTCTTTAACCATGACCACTTATACCAATGGTCAAGGCAGCTGGGTCCATTGAATCATGAAAACCTAGATATTTCTCAGGATCAATCTGTGGCCAGATTACAAGGCGATCATTATAACCACTAAAATGTTATATCTAAAACTATGGTAC